GCGTCGTCCCCACAAATCCAGTTTGGCTTTAAATGCAGCTACTTTATCTGCCAACTTGAAGACAGTTGTCATTTTCCCCTGAAGTGACAGATTGAGTTCATTGAGCAGGCTGAATATGTCGCACAAGTAAGCCAGTTTTGGCGCTCAAGTGACCGAGATGTAACCGAGAGAATGCGGTCATTTTTCAAAATAAAAGATCGTTCATACTCAGATAATAAATAAAACGGAAATAATTAATAATTTCTTGTACGGACCGGTACCAATTGATCCACGGACCGGTACCGGTCCGCGGCCCGGGGGTTGGGGACCACTGGGCTACGGGACACACCTGGTAAGACTGGTCAGCATGACTTTCATGCAGCACACTTCCACTCCTCTCTCACTCTCTCTCTCTCTCTCTCTCTCGCTCGCTCGCTCTCTCTCTCAGTGCGCTCAGAAGAAAAGGAGGAAGCTGAGTGCGCGCAGCAGCCGCCCGACCACTCAACTGACGGAATAAAACAAAAACCCAGTCAAACTAACCACCAGCTGAAAGCAGTACCACGGTTTCCAGGTCCTCTCCTTGGAACATCGCTCGATAAACCGGTTTTTCCACCACAGACGCGCTTTCTGGGCACCGACAACTCCTGTTGCTTAGAGTGAAGACAGTTGCACAGACACTGGGAGAATGGCAGACTCGTCGGCGGCCAACAGCGACGGGGAGGACGGACCCATGCGGGGCTTTGCGCGTCAGGGAGCCCTCCGCCAAAAGAACGTGCACGAGGTGAAGGACCACAAATTCATCGCGCGGTTCTTCAAGCAGCCCACCTTCTGCAGCCACTGCACCGACTTCATCTGGTGAGGGGCGGACACACCGGGGACGGTGGGGGGACAGTTTTCAACATGCAGTAATTTAACTTGGCTCGGTGCATTTGTTGATTCTCTCACAGAGAAGGATGAGGAAAGAGAAATACAGGGTTCAGATAATGGTTTAGACACGAGTGGGCCAAGAGATGGGGTATAAAGGAAGATGTAAAAAGGGCAGAACAAGTTGCATTTCATCACTGTGCTCCACTATAGTTCATACAGCTTAAAAAGAGAGGTAGTCTGAGCACAGAGGGTGTGGTGCTGTAAAGCCCCTTGAAGAAAATTTGTGATTGGTTATACAATAAAAATAGACTTGATTACAGAGTCAAAATTGACTCCAGTGTCTGGTAGTGTTGCAGCAGGA